CATAATTAGCAATCCTTTTGACTCATCTAAGGCCTCTGAGAGTGAATCATACCCTCCACCACCCAATTATCTACCATAAACATAGTTCAACCTCCAACTATTCTAAGCAATGGTTCTTTATAACGTCCGTTCAAGGGCTGGTTTCTCCATTAACACTGGACTAAGCCCAACCTCTTTAACTTATCTTTTAAGAATCCCCCGTATTTTTCTCCTCCACCAAAGATAATCAATCTTAATGCACATTCTTCTGTAATGTAACAGTAAACAGCCTTGCAGAATCAGATCACAATCTTTATTTATCCCACGCATGCTAAGATCAAAGTAGCATTTGACTTCATAGCATCTTTTAAGATGTTACAGAAGTACAATGTCCTCCTCAGTTAGAAGAACTGGTTGATTTCTTTGTTCAAGACCAGCAATTTATAAGAAACTATATTACTGTATGTCAGGAGTTAGGATAATTTGCAGAAAGCCATTGGTGAGAAAAGTCAAAGTGGTCTGGGCAGGCAAGAGACAGGCATGGGGTAGAAAGTGTGAGGTGCAGAGGTCAGCTTCAGGGCAGATGAGAATGCAGGAGATGAGACATGAAGCCACAGGGAAATGTGTGGAAGGTCAAGGGGGCTGACAACTGTTCCCTAGACAGCCAGCAAGAGGGCACTGTAGACAGTAACAGGCCACATATACAGCCATGGTCCTATAAACTTATAATGACATTGAGCATGGTAGCACAATTAAAATAATCCCAGTATTCTGGAGGCTGAGACAGTAGGATTGTCTTTTGGGATGTGTCATATTTTTAATTTGTTTTTGTTTTTTGTTTTTATGTTTATGGGTGTTTTGCCTGTATGTCTGTCTGTGTACGACGAGGCCAGAAGAGGGAATCAGATACCTTGGAATTGGCATTATAGAAAGGTGTGAATCATCATGTAGGTGCTGCTAATCGAACCCAGTCCCTTTGCAAGAGTATCCAGAGCTCTTAATCACTGCTCTCTCTCTCCAGTCGCCAGATGTGTCAACTTTTGAAGCAGCACATGAATGCACATACTGTGAAAGACGTTGCATCCTCCCACCCCACCCCAGCCACTATGACATTCAAGGTCAACTCCAACCCAGCATTTCTGCTCCAAGCCTCATAAACACACATTGTATACATTCAAGGTCAACTCCAACCCAGCATTTCTGCTCCAAGCCTCATAAACACACATTGTATACATTCAAGGTCAACTCCAACCCAGCATTTCTGCTCCAAGCCTCATAAACACACATTGTATACATCGTATACAGAATGTCCTCTCTACATTCTACCCCTGACCCTCTTCCTGTGCCTGCTTCTCTTCCCTGTATGCTTCTCACCCACTGCTCTAGCCCACTGCATCCTTCCCCTTCTGTGCAGCCCCATGGTGAAGGACCACCTGGCACTGTTGCTGAATCTAGCCTAGTCTTGCCACCAGTAGGGGGGAAAGACCCCTGTGATCATTTTTTTCTGCCATATCACATTTGTCCCTCCTCCAGAGAAAGAGCCCTGAGTAAGTGAATTAAGAACAATATTTTGAAACCATCCGTGGTACCATTCTGTTTCTCTCCAATTACCATTTAAAACAGACTGGGTGTTACAGCTGAAGAAGCAGCAGTTCCTTATTTGGGGATTGGTTTATAAACTGCATGGTTGAAAATACATCCCAGCTCAGGGCTTTTTCTATAGCTGGGAATGAAGGAATGAACAAAGCCAGGGCCCCAAAAGACCAATATAGTCGGCAGCTGCCAGGGACAATTTCATACTTAGCATGGTTAGCTGGCTAGAGATTGGTTCTATTAAAAGACTTTGTTTCCTCTGCAAAAGAAAAGTTTGAATACATTAATTCTTAACTGAGTGCTCGAGGGGGCTGGACACGGAACATGAAAACAAGCAAATTACAAAGCAGTTTTCCAAGCAAGGTCAAAGATTTCCACCTTAAAAAAAAATTGCAAATCTAACATGAGGCTTTTGTTCTGAAGAGTAATTGTAGCAAAGCATGTCTATCACCCCAGACACGGGGTGCCCCAATGTTTCATCAGTGCCATGGATTCATTCACTTATTCCTATGTCTGTTAAGTGGATGTCTAGTGTGTGCTGGACACTGTGTTTGCTTGGTGCTGAGAAAACAAAGAAAACGAAGACATTCTCACCCAAGAGGATGTCAAAATGTGGGGGAAACAGTGTTTTAAATATGTTGAGTGATGTGGCGAGATTCTGCACCTCTCTTGGGCTCAGGGCCATGACTGAGCGGTAGGTGTTAACTCCATTAAGTAGGTGATGGAGCTGTGCAAGTTAGACCGCTTGAAGCAGATAAAGAGGTGGTTTCTGGAAACTGAGGGTAAGCTACAAGATAAGATATCCACTGTGTCTCAGCATGCCCTAGAATCCATTGAATCACCAAGAGTCAGAAACAAGCCATGCATCAGTAATTCAGAAGAACAGGATACATGTCGAGAATTAAGAAATCTAGCAGAGAGGTAAATAAACCCGAGGACGCACATCAGGTGAGACACGAAGGGGCAGAAGTCTCGGGTTAATGCGGGTTAGTGATCTGGAATCATGGACATCCAGTCAGGCTCATGTGTGATGACAGAGCTCCCGCAAGATCTTAAGACTAACTCCCATCTGTCATGAGTGCACCATGTGCCAGGCATTTGGCTAATCACTTCCTATAAATTATCCCATTTCATTTCCCATCTGAAACTGTGAGAGGGTTGTTTATGGATGAGAAAATTGAGACTTGGTGCCCTTAATCACAGTGATGTTCCTGGTAGAGCCAGAACGCAAACACTGAGGCCTGGCTTACAAGGTTATACAGAGTGAGTCTACTTACTTCCCTGTTAGGAAGGCACGTTGCTAGGGTTTCGGCACCGGGGAGGAAGTGAGGAAGCTATGGTTACAGATTAGAACAAACTGGCTAGGTAAAGGGAGTGAAGATTAGGCATGGAAAATAACTCAAGTGGGCTTCCATGAACTTGTCAAATTAGATTTGGAATGGCAGCTTTCGCTGTCTTTATTATCTTGGAGCACTTCAAAATGGCAGATATACATCAGGAATTCTGGCACCTCTGACTTGGGCATCACAGCCTTGCTACACCACACTTGCTACACACCCACATAAAGATTTTAATGACTGAGGCCATTTCAGACATTGAACAAGAACATATTAAGTTTACTCAGTGGTGAAGAACAGAGGAGCCCAGGCTACAAAATTAAGCCAAATTTTCTTCAAGGATGAAACCTTTCTACCACAAAAGCACAACCAGGACTGAGGTGCTGGTCTACATCTGGTCTAGGGAAGACAAGTGGGGCCCCGGTGACAGGGACATGGCATAGTGTGCACCTGCTGTTAGTCCCAGGTGGGATCATAGCTATCAGTCAATGTTTTGTAAGAACAAAATTTAAATGGAACATTCAGTAAATAGCAATTGTTTAAAATACAGTGGCTTTGTCTGGAAGTTCTGAAGAAAATCTTTGTCACAAGTCTGAATCAGATATTACTTAATAGAAATGAAAGACCAGGAACTCATGAGGAGGGGACAAACAGGGGAAGACCCTTGAGAAGTGTTAGTCAGTTTTGCAAGATGAAAAAAACTCCAGAGATGGATGATAGATTTTGTATAACAAGTGTATAAGACTTAATGCCACTGACCTTTACACTCAAATGTGTAAAATACTAGCATCGTGTACATTTAACTGCAATTAAAAACCAAATTTTGGAGACTGAGGCTCATCAGCTAAGAGTTCTTGCTGCTCTTTCAGGGAACCAGGGTTCCATTCCCAACATCAGGTTGATTACAACTGCCTCTATCTCCAGTTACAGGGGATCCAACACCCTCTTCTGGACTCTGAGGGCACCCACCCATATGTGCCATATATACCACACATGCACATACATACATAAATAAAAAAGTAAGTCTTAAAAAATAAAATTTAAAGTTTGCTTAGGTGCAAAAATGTAAATCTGTAAGAGTGAGCATGCACACACACTCCTTATTTTCTTTTGACACAGGATTTCACTATGTAGCCATGGGTGGCCTGGAACTGTGCATAGACCAGAAAGTTGGAAAACTAACTTGTAGGAGTCTCTTGTCTCCTTCCACCATGTATGTCCTGAGGATCCAACTCAGGTAGTCAGGCTTGGCACGATGTGCCTTTACCCACTGAACCAACTTTCTGGCTCAAGTAACTCTTAATATAGCCAGACATGTGCCATTTAGGGCAAATATAATGCAGAAAATGCAGAACTTTTCAGCCCAGACCCCAGGCACTTTTGAGGATGGGATTCTACTGTCGCGATCATGCTCACAGTGATACTTTATTAACACTCTTTACCGCTTATTGTTAGAAGTGTTTCCCTCTACAGACCCAAAAGTACCCACTTAACAATGACATCCACTTTCCAGAGAAGTCTGGCAAATGAAAAGTCATGCTAAAACGAATTTGTCTCCGTATTTATCATCAAACACCCTTCCGACTTATTCCCTTTTACTTCCCACCCCCCTTTTAAAATCTAGCTTGTCTGATATATACATAGTCATAGCCTTCCACCCTACTTCCCTTCTTTTTTAATTTTAATTTTATTTTTATGGGGGGGGGCGGTGTTAAGAGGCCAGAAGAGGGCGCTGGATCCCCTGGAGCTGGGGTTACATGTGGCTTTAAGTCTGGAATCGAACTCTGGTCCTCTGGAAGGGCAGTAAGTCCTCTCACCTCCGACCCATCCCTCCAGCCTTGTCTTGGATTGGGATGGTGCCCCCGACTTGTTTGTACAACCTTCCAGTTAACTCATGTCCTTTGCCTGGGAACCTGTCACCCGAACGGGAGGGTCACCTCCAACCACTCTTAAACGTCGAGGGGACAACCACACCTAGCTCACACGCGGAAGGGCCGGCCCTACCCCCACCCCGGGCCGAGATCTCGCGAGAGCCAAGCCACTCGTGAATTCCCCGGCCACGGGAGGTGGGGCGGCGGGGCGCGGCGCGCAGGCGCTTCCGCAAAGATGGCGGCGGCGGCGGCGGCGGGGAGAAGCGCTCGGCTGGCGGCTTGGGGCGGAAGGCTGCGGCGCGGGCTCGCGGCCGGCCGACGAGCTGTCCCGAGTCCCGGCCCCCTGGCAGCGGCTGTGGCCGGCGTGGCCCTGGCAGGGGCAGGAGCGGTGTGGCACCACGGCCGCGTGCAAGCAGCCGCGCGCGAGGGCAGCCTTCAGGTGCTGGCGCAGGTACGGGACGGGCTCGGCACAGCTCCGCCCTCAGGCGCCCCTGGGCGGGAGGCCCCGGAGACCCCAGAGCGCTGCGCGTGCCCGGAGGGCCCGGGAGGAGGAGGGTGGCAGCCCCTCCCCGCCCCCCCCCGCCCCCGCCCCCGCTCCCGCTGGGGAGCGTGTGGGCGTGGCTCGGGGCGGGCGTTTGCCTCGCCACGCCCCTGCCCACCTGGTGGAGAAGGGGCGTTCTGATCTGCGGGTGCTGGGCGACCCCTGCCTCCCCAGGAGGGACCCTCGTTAACCTTTTTTTCGTTTTTTTTTTTTTTTTTTTTTTTTTTTTTCGAGACAGGGTTTCTCTGTGTAGCTTTGCGCCTTTCCTGGAACTCACTTGGTAGCCCAGGCTGGCCTCAAACTCACAGAGATCCACCTGGCTCTGCCTCCCGAGTGCTGGGATTAAAGGCGTCAAGACTTTTTCCAGTCTTGAAAATATCAACTATAAAAGTTGGAACAGTTGGTAGTTACAGATTTTAGATGTTCTAATGACTACTAAGTCTTAAGCCTTAATGTTTTAGGGGGTCACCCGCCTACTCGGCAAGACAATTTTTCTTAACGCCTGGGCTGTTAGGGTGCAAATGTTAATTATCTTACTTCAAGATAAGTATCGCCGTGTAAAAACATTGGGAAGTTTGAATGTACTACCTAAAATAGAGACATTTCAGTGTTTTTGTTTTGTTTTAATTTTCTTAGAATTAAAGGTACTATTTTATTTCTTTATTTGTTAGGTTTCTATTATCTAGTTCTAATGAAAAACTCAGGAAACATTAAAATACAACAAAAAGAGCAGAAAACCTTACAAATTAAAGGTTGGTAAATGTTGTTAGTATGAAGATACAATATAGTTTATACATGCATTGACTCCAGCCTCGCACCACATCTGATTTGAGGTGGAGAAAACTTCTTATGCTATATAGCCTTTTTGTTAAGTTTTTCTAAGATTTATTTTTATTTTATGTGTATGAATATTTTGCCTGCATGTATGTGTGTACCCTGCACGCAGGCACGGTGCCCAGTTGCCAGAAGAGGGCGTTGGGCCCCTGGAACTAGAGTGACAGGCGCTTGTAAACCACCACAGGAGTGCTGGGAACTGAGCTCAGGCCCCTTGCAAGAGCAGCAAGTGCTCGTAACCACTGAGCCATCTCACCAGCCCTGACATTTTTGTTAATCTTATGTCAAACAAATTTATTTTTCATTATTGGTTTTTCTGCTTGCATATTCGATTCCATCCTATTCAGAACCTTAGGTTAATTCCCCACGTGGTGTTATTTTAACTTAGAAACTACTAGTGCCTTGAATAATAAATTCACCTTTTTTTTCCTATTGCTGAGTGTGCAGTATACCGTGCAAGTGCTCTACCACTGAACTACATCCCCAGCCCTCCACACTTTCAAACTTTGCAATTCACAGCCTTTGTAGTCACATTCCCTGACCTGTTATTAACTCAAAACGCTTCCAGCCAGTGACTCACTCACTGTCTAGGAACCAAGTTTAATTCCCACCCACAAGCCCTCAGCAATTTGTAAGATGATTTCACTTCAACCTCCTTTGAATTTTAAGGTGTTTTTTTTTTTTTCTGGTTTTGTTTGTTTTCTGGCTCCCTTCTATCCTATTTCCACTTTAAATTACTACCTTCACCTTACAGTTCACACCAGTGTAGTATTTTGGATTCTTTCTCCAACTCTTATCCTCTTCATTCTCTGCCATTCCGTAACCTTCAGCCTAGCTAAAGTAACCCAGAATCATATTATCAGTGGCTTTCTAAGGTCTGTTGATACAAGTCGGCTTGGTCTGCTCTTTGGACGAACTGAAAATGGGTTTTTTATGCTTTTACTCTCACAGTGGACATTCCTTCCTCAACAGTGGCTGAAAACTAGTGTGTTCAGTGTAGCTGGGGCTTGAGAACTCTCCCCTAAGGTGGGGATTTGTGTGCCTTTTCCTATAAAGGGACCTGTTAATCCCCCTCCACCATTTGGGGCACATGTGTGCACACAGTTTTCTTTTGTTTCTTTTACTCAGTACCACTTGTGGATCTGGGTTAATATCGAGAATAGCCTTCATTCTCGTTCATCACACTGAATGATTTTTCCAGTAAAAGTGGAGAAATTGTGTTCGTGGCATCCTACTCTTTTCTGTTTTCCTTGGTGACCAACAGCTTGTGGTTTGTGTGGGATCAACAGGAGTAAGTGTAGCTGTCCAGGTCATGAAGCAGCAGACAGTTTGGAACCCTTCTTTCTCTCCTCTCATAACTATTGAAATCCTTTGTACCAAGGGTGTGTGCAAGGAGTCGGGTTAGAAAGACAGCTTCTGTCCTTAAAGTATGACAGCAGGGGCAATTTTAATGCACTGTTGTAAATGCTGGCTGCCCATTGCAGGGTCCCAGAAGAGCACCCAGCACACTCCTGGTTTCCTGAAGGGATGATAAAGAAATGGTCGTCCTCCGGCTGCTTGGGAATTCATTTGGCAAAAAAAAGGAGGGGGGTTTAGGTAAAGGGAATACCTACCTGCTCAGGAAGCTACAAGAAAGTTGGACTCAGCAAAAGAGTGAGCTATGAGATGGGTGTGTGCAGTGACCTGGAACATCATCAAGTCACACAAGCCATGTGGCAGGACTTTATCTTAAGGACTGTAGGAAGCCATTGCAGGAGTTCTAAAGTCTCATGGGGATGGGTGCGCGCGCGCGCGCGCACACACACACACACACACACACACACACACACACACACACACACACACGCACGCACGCGCACACACGCTCCTACCCCCACAGAAAGCATCTTACAGTGAAGAGGTTACTTTGTTTTCAGTGGCCTGTGATTTAAACTTGTCTAATTAGGAATGCAAACAAGGCACACTGGACCAACTACTTAACTGTGGGTGACACCCTCATACAGGCTTGCATATGGAGCCATAACTGGCTGGGGGATTGTTTAAAAAAAAAAAAACAAAAAAAAAAAAAAAAAAAAAAAAAAACAAAAAAAACCTGCTAAGAATAAAAGGTTTCTATTTTCCAGGAAAAAAACCCATGGCCAAAAAAATTCAAACATAAAATACACAGTGAATCTCAGGTGTTTCTAGCAGTGCTTGCCAGTGTTAGAACATATGACTTCACCGGAACCTTGTTCTGAACACACAACTTTGGCTCAGATTCCAGACTATTGTGTGTTATGAACTGCAGTATTTTTTGCTGTATGTACAGTTTTCTACTCTTACAGAAACATAGTGGTTTGATAACAGAAAAGAGACATTCAGTATGTTTCTACCATCATTCCTGTGTGTATCAAATTATTATATAATATGTAATTGTATTGTGTGTAAATATTTGCTTTGAAAAATTTAGGTTACTGATTTTGAAAAGTCATTACATGAATTTTGATTTGGGATTAAGACCTAACTTCCAACAGTTTCTGAAGTGCTCCTAAATGCTCATGTGTCTTTATGCATATTGTGTATTTGCATAACTAGAAAAGCAAAGTGTCAATCAAGTCCAAAAACAAAACAAAACAAAAAAACATTGGGTTTTTTTTTAATTCTTTTTTTTTAATGTATGTGTGTAGAGTGTGTGCTTGTGTGTAAATATGGGTATGGGTACAAGTGGAGGTCTGAAGTGATGTCAGGAATCTTCCTAGAGCTTGCAGATTCTGGGCGGTCTTGCTAGTCAGATTGCTCTGAGAAACCCGTGTCTGCTTTCTTTCCTAACTGGAACTGCAGGCAGGCCACCACACCCGGCTCACCTGGCCTTTAAGGTGTCTGCATGAGCTCTGGGGTCTGAACTGTGGTCCCCTAACTTGCTGCAAGTTCTTGTAACAGCTGAGCCATCTTCCCATCCCTACCCCAAAATGTGTTTTCCTCTTTAATAAATGGTAGAAGTGTATGTATAAAAAGCAGTGGTTGACAGATAGCTTGATAGTTTACTGTCAGCAAATGGTTTGGATACCTATTTTGCATATCTCTATTCCTAGGGTCTTATCAAAAAAGTTCGGTGAAAAAGGGATCAGGACGGGAAAATTTAAGAAGCCTGGCACTAGCGTTCTAAATTCTGTCTTGAATAGAAATGTTACTTTCCTATTACAGCATCTCAGTATCATTTTGCAATCCCTGAGAAGCCTGCCATCTTATCAAGCTATATAATATTTGCTTTGCTCTGTGGGAAAATGTCAAGGCCTTAGAAAAATGAGTGAATTAAAAACGAGTTACAGAGTTGTCACAGTAATCAGGAAATGGTGGCACCTTATCAGGGGACTGGTTTACAAGATAAGCTGTACAGATCTAAATTGCACATGTCTTATGTAAATGTGACTGTACTGTTTCAGAATGTATAATGAGTACAACAGGGTAACACAATACTGCCTCCTGCCAGAGTTTGTAGTAGAACTTGTTTATGGTTCATTAGTAAGTGAATTGTTTCTAAATTTTGTCAAGTTATATAGAATATTGGATACTAGCAGTTTCCCTGGCTTCATTTCAGATTTATTTTCTTTGCTTCTCAGTGACAGATTTGTCTTCTACTATTTAAATAGTAAAGTTATTTGGCCTAACAGTAGACATTACTGCATTTCTCTATTCTAAGTAAAAGTGAGGAGTTAGTCCACACTTATTATATAAATTCATTCATATTTTATTCCCCTTAGTAGGTTTAGTTGCATTTGTATTTATAAATTCTTAAAAACTTCTGCTCCACTAATCAGGTTCTTCTTTTCTTCCCTTTTGGAATTATTTTATTTACTTATTTTGCCTTCTGCTGGAATGGGCATTTGTCTGTCTGTTTTATCTCTGCATTTTGTGCATACAACAGTGATGGAATGAACTGAACTGCACTGCTTAATAAAGTGGCTTTGGTTTAGCTGGCATTTATAGAAAGGTTAGACAGAAGCATAGAGCAATTCCCCATTGTCCCAAATCAACTCTGATACTCTTGGAACCCTAGAGGCATGTCATGCCATGTTCCCAGTAGAAAAAAGTGAAGA